AACTATCATTACTATAATTAATTTAAAGTGAAGATAAATGGGAAAAGTTATATAATTAGGTGTACTTTTATGCATACTGTGGGATGGAGTCCTATCTTTTTAATTTAAAGATAAGACTTAAAACCTGAAACACATTTCAGGTATCTCAGCTTGTCCTAAAAAACCCCAATAACTTCAAAGTGACAAGTGCAAAAACAAGGAGACTGTAAAATCTTGAATATTAAAATCTGCTACATTAAAAACATAATAGAACTATACAAGAAAACTTGAGCACCATCCAGTTACATGGAGTTGGAATGTAGAAATTCCACCCTAAAATATATATTACTTTGAAAACAGAGATATAGTTTTAGAGGACATAGTGAAGTCAATCCAAACGGCTTTTATTTCTCTACATTTTGAGCTGTCTTGAAATAAACCTGCTGGAAAATAGTTGTTAGTGTAAAATGTTGGGTTGTGTGTTTAGCTGGTCCTAAACAGCCCTTTTAAAAAAAGAAGAAAAACAAAAACAATTTTTAGTCAAAGTGTTGCCAAGTGCAATAAAACGCTACATGTACTGTGCTCTGCCACAATAGTGCTCAACAGAAATCACTGCATTATGAACAAAATTAACTAATTCAAGACAACATTTTTCTATTTCTGTTGATTTCTGCAATATAAACAAACATTTTTCAGTCTCTTATAATTTTGAGATCTGACCTGTCAGACTTTAAATGCAAGTATAAATCTTAAATGTTTGAAGCTCGGGCTGTATTGCTGGTAGATCTTTATCCAAACAGGTTGGACAGTGGTCTGGTTCTCAGAGGACTCCTGGGCAGCTCTTCGCCTCTTCCTACCTCCCCGGTGTCCCTGAAGGAGGCACTGTGGATGATCTGGGCTCGGTGGCGCCCACGATGCAGCCGGGCATTCAGCCGGCTCAGGGACGACTTCCTCTGCAAACCCCCCTTGGTCTTCTCTGACTCCTCCGGCGTCTCAGGCGGTGAGGTCAACAATCGCAGTGATTTCAGGTTGCCCTGGAGGACTTTGGGCAACCTCCAGCCTCGCGTTCTGCTGCTGCCAGCATTGGCGTTTTCGGTATCTGACTCTGGTCCAGGTGAGGTTACCAAGCCCTCCCTTTCCAGGTCAGCAGTCAGCAGCGGAGAGAGGTACTGGATGGCTCGTCTCCCACTGTAATCCCGAGCTTCAGGGTCCGCTTCCCAGTCAGAAAGGAGCACACGAACCACCTGACAATAAAACATCTTCATTAGTCCTCGCAAAAGTGTTCCAACAACATTAGACAGGTCAGCCAGAGTTGAGTTCAAAGCAAACTCAAGGTAAAAAAAATTAACATTTGGATACTCTTCCAATCCATTATCCAAAATTCTGAAGAGTACAGCCTCAAATGCAACTTTACTAAGATATGATTGTACACCTAAGCCAGGCAAGAAGAAGATTAATCAGAAAAACACATAGTAACTCTACACGAAAGATTCATAGCATCTTAGTGGTGGCAAGAAGAAATCCATTGCTGAAAGAAAGCCATTACAAGTGCTATTTGCTCTTACAAGCCAATGCACTAATTCTAACTGAGGAGATAGACTGTTGGTAATTGTGCAGCTACAGTAAGCTACACTAAAGTAGTGCAACACATGACACCCCGCTCCCTGCTACCCACCTGTGTGTGTCCATGCATGGCAGCCAGGTGTAGCGGTGTGTAGCCAGCACTTGATCTTGCGCTCACATTTACAGGTATAGTATTCTCTTTGGCAAAGTGCAGCAGCTGGGAAAGCAGCTCAGCCTTGCCGTGCTTCGCGGCCCAGTGGAGGCAGGTGAAGCCAGTCACAAAATCTCTTTTGGCAACCAGACTCGGTTCGACAGCCAACAGGGGTTGCAGGCTCTCCCACAGGCCATCTGAGGCGCAGAGCATCCATTCGTGTTCAAGGGGGTCCAGGGTGACAGAAGAGCTCTCCTCGTCTGTGACCGAGGAGAGGACAGACGATGAGTCGCCGTCGCTCCGCACAGAGTCTCGAATGCGTGGGCCACGGTTGATCAGAGACCTCCGAACCTGCCACGTACAGGAAGATATCTTTAGACACTTTCATTTAAAACATAGAAATATAGTGAATGCAATACCAGTAAAATGTTAACATTATTTCTGCATGTCTCACATGAGGTGAGCTACTCATCATCAGCTCTATGAAGTTCCTGCGGCTTCCTTTCGGTGTTTGTATTTCCCCCACAGACTCCAGCCCCTCCAGTGCGCTGTCTTCAGACAGGCAGCTGATCAGGACGGCTCGCTGGGATCCTTTAGAGACCCGACGTGTCCCTCTCACCACATGGCTGTGGGAGCCAGTTGCATGGGCCTGGTCTAGGTTGTGTGTCCCGATAGCTGGCGCCGACTCTCGCCTCCTCCTGTCCCTCAGCTTCACCTCTCCTCCTCCAGCAGTGGTAGGAGTACCTGACTCGGTGCTACCCTGGGCCTGTGCTGCAGGTTGCTCATTGCCATTTGACTGATGGTCATTATCCAGATTGGGTGAGGTTGATGCTTCTGTAGGACAATCACAATGTGTTATTAAACTGAGAAAAATCAATGGCTGGCATAAACAGTGACCCATTTTTTTGTGTTTTGTCACATTACAACCACAACATCATGCACTTTATTGTGAGCTTGTCATTGGAAGTTTTCATCTGTACCATATTCTTTCTGTTTTGGATGATGGACCACTGGAAAAAGAAATGCTTTATTAAAATGAAACATATATTTGACAGCCTTGAGCATTTAGCAAAATGACAGGGTCTGCAGTCAGGCTCTGTATTGTTGTAGCAGAAACTACTACAGGAGATTCCTTAAGGCACAAAGTCATAAACAATACTTTATCTCCCTCAGATTAATAATGTATTTTAAATATAATAGAAGCAATCCAAAGTGTTTATACTTATTTTAGCTGGATTAAGTGTACACCAAATGGATTTGTTTGTATTACATTTTCAGAGACATCAAGGAAAATTTACCCAACACTTTTAAGATTTTTATTTGTGAAACCATAACTTTCCAATTTATATTGTTTTCCCCACATTGTAATGCTCCATCACATTAGATCCCAATGAGAGACGTTTTAGTTTATGGTCATAAATGTGAAAAGGTACAGTAGTGATACTGCTTTTGCAGTATCACTACTGTAAATGTAAATGTTATTAGATTCTTATTCTTTGAATTATTCCTTCAATTTCTTTGCAATTTTTTTACTGATCGAGAAAAATAATCATTTTAAATATTTAACAAATTTTCCTGAGCTTAAAATAACAATAACTCCAAGTTAAATAAGCAATCGTCCAGGCTTTTACAGGTCATGTACAACAAGAATAAATAAATAAATAAAAGGTGCATTTAAATCATATCGCGTCCCCCTCACCTGCAGATTCTCCGTCCTCATCAGGGTTGCCGTTCACTTGTTTGTTGTCCAGCGTCTCTTGGACGTTCCCGTTGCACTCCGCATCAACGTGGCCGTCTGCGTCCTTACGCATCCCCGACTCCTCGCAGCCCTCGCCATTTAAGCACACAAATTTCACCCCGTTTTCCACTTCCACGAAACCCACGCTGTCAACAATGCTCCTAAGCAACTCCCATCCCGCCCCTTCTTTCTGCTGGTCATTACAGTCACAAGGAGCTGTGAAACGATCGATCAGCTCCATCTGTCGGACCCTCCCTCCTTTCTCCAACAGGAACTCGTGCACGGCTTGAATCGTGCACTGCTGGGACGCCATCGTTCTCATGAACGTCTCCGAGTGACCGCAGTTACAAATGGCTTAGCGGCATAACAAATTTTCCAAATACACCCATGGTCTTTCTAATTTTGTCGGTTCAGTCACAGCGGATGACAGCATCTCCTCCTCCCTCTCATTTTAATTGCTAGGACCTGTCTGCCAAACTCTGGTCAATAGAGGGCGCGCTTGGACATGAATGGAGAATGCTGCGTTTGCGTGCTGCTTGCAGATCAGGGTTAAAGCAAATAGGAAAGTTGTCTCTGCTGTTGCATTTTTTTAAACAAATGCAAAGAAAGCTTCCTTGCCGAATAGAAAGAACACCAAACTACGTTCAACTAATTTTGATTAATAATTTTTTTATACTTTTGTCTTATGTGCATTTCAGTAGGCGTAATTGTCCTTATTGAAAAAATTAAATTGTTAACATCTGCAAATTAAAATAGTATGCCAGCTTTATTTACAAAAGCACTTTAAACCAATAGACGCATGATTTTGTAAATAATAAAATAAATTAAAATAGGATTAGAATTAAAATAAAATAAATGTTTTTAGATTAAGAATAAAATAGTTTAAAAGTACAATAAAATACAAGAGCAATTAACAAGAAAGCATGACAAAAAAAAAAAATCTAATTAACAATTTTAACAGGATTAAACCCCAAATAGGAAAGTTGAAAAATGGGTAGCTGAAAATGAATTTAAACTCATCTTCAGTCCAAAAATTTACCAAACAGCATAATTGGCCCATTATTATTTTTATTATTTTGTTTTAAAAACACACACAGACATTTTGTGAGGTGGATGTTAAATTTGTTTTCTTGTTTTTTTTTCCTTCTTTTTTAAATTCTTTGTTTGTTTTTTTTTTAATATCAACAATGATGTTTATTAAAAACCTATTTTTATTGTTATTGTCATTATTCAGAAAATAGTTTTTTATAGATTCAGTGTTTTCTTTCAGCTCTAACAGGCCAATTTCAGGTCAGATTCCATTTTTTCGCAACATCGCACAAGGACAGGGAGCGCCTGGGAAAATTAAGCTGTGCTGTACCACTTTACAAGAAGGGGTGCATACATTTGATTTCATAAATTAATTTAACTTTTTTCGCGCATAATTATATTTATATCTAATTTCAACATCTACACAAAGCTTATTATAACAATAAATTAGAAATATTTTAGCAAAGCTGTATTTTTTAAAACAACTGTACACACAACAAAAAATACTGAAATCCCCACATTGTTTTGGTTGGTCTCGTCTGTCTAGTTGCCGAGTGTAGTCGGTCCTGAAAAAGAATCTGAGGGGTTTAAAAGTTGTTTTCTTTTAGTTTTGTTGAAATCATTGTGAGTTTGCTCAGGCGTTCTGGTAAAATTATGGCTTCCACGGATGTAGCTCGACAGCCGGTGAGCATTTATGTACTTTGCGTTTTAAAGAAGATTGTTCTTGACAGTTGAGCAGGGAGTGTCCTGCGGCTATCATTAAGTTAGCTAAAGCTAACATTACAACGTTCCTGAAGTTTTTGGAAGTTTAATGTGATATATACCAACGTAGTTATACTACAGTTTAACATATATAGTGTTCATGGAACTATTTATTTGTATTTGTGTTACAATAAAGTAGTTGTCGCTTTTTTCTTTTTACCAAGGAAAGAGCTAGCGAGTTAGCATAACAGTGAAGTGTAAGCAAATGGCTAATACTGATGTTCGGATGTATTGACAGATATTTAATGCGACGTATAGCAGTTAATGATACATAAGTCAACTAAAGTTTACATTTGCAAACTTTTTTTAAAAGTTATCTTCGTCACTGTATGTGTATAATCAGTAGAACTGTATGAAGAAACAGTTAAGAATGAATTTCCAGCTGCCAACATTTTGAAATACATTTTATAAACATGAAAATAATATGTTAAAAGGAATCTTAAAAACTGCAACATACCATAAATGTAAGAAGCATACACATACTTTAATTTGACCATTTATGTTCCTATGACCTATAGTTTATTACATTTTAACTAATATGTAATAAACTAGTATTAGCAAAGTTATAAACAGTTTGATGTTTTATATATGCCTTATATTGTCTAATTTGACTTTAATAACTCGAAATTGTGACTTCAAAAACTATTCAACTCTTTTTTTTTTTACTTGATAACATTATCAGTTGATGGGTTGCTGTAGGTTTTATTTCATTCAATAATGTTTTGACATCAAACTGTTTATAACTTTACTAAGTAGCCAGTTTTTAGGGGAATGTATTGATTCTTGTATTTTTTTTCCTGTTGTCTATTGGTGTTTTGCTGCAAGCCAGAAATGTATTTTCTTTTCATTCACTTCAATGTCAGCAGCAAAACAGTTTGACTTGCAATAACTATTTTGTTATGTCTTAGATACATCCAAATTTAATAATATGATGTAGATTGGATGGTGTACTTGCCTTTTTTATCTTCTAGTTTTCACATTGTACATTATCAATGGATTTGACAATTATTGAGCTAGAAATGACCTTTTTTATATGTCAAGTTTTTATCTTTGGCATTTTTCACAGATGCGAGAGCAGATATTTACTCTAATTATACCTTTGCAGCAGGCAGCGATTACCAGACTATGTGTGTAAATATAATTTTTGAGATGACATGGTTGTTTTTGAATGATCTTTTGTCTGTGTAATTGTTTCTACAGGATAAAGGAGCCCGGCCCTTGTCCCTAGCTGGCCATGTCGGCTTTGACAGTCTCCCAGATCAGCTTGTCAACAAGTCCATCAGTCAGGGCTTCTGCTTCAATATTCTCTGCATCGGTACTTTGTCATATTTATCTACTTTAGTCATACATTTATCAGTAATTGCTTAATTTCCTAATTTAATGATAGAAATTTTTGAGAATATGTAACACAGTGATAAAAATAAAACATTCATCAATTTAAAAAAAAGTTTGTATTTTTTTTTCTCCAGGTGAGACTGGTATTGGCAAGTCTACACTGATGGACACACTGTTTAACACCAACTTTGAGAACTTTGAGTCGTCCCACTTTGAACCTCAGGTGAAGCTACGGGCTCAGACCTACGACCTGCAGGAGAGTAACGTCAGGCTCCGTCTCACTGTGGTCAACACCGTTGGCTTTGGGGACCAAATGAACAAACAAGAAAGGTCTGACTAAGAACTGTTTGGGGGTCTCAACTAAGATGTTTGTCACTCAGGGAATATCACTTTACTTAAATGTAGTAACAGTGGGATTGAGCTTGTGTATGCAGACTGTCACTGATGTTTGTTGTTTTGTCCTGCAGCTATCAGCCGGTGGTGGATTACATTGATAAGCAATTTGAGACTTACCTTCAGGAGGAGCTGAAAATCAAGCGCTCTTTGCACAACTACCATGACTCACGAGTGCATGCCTGCTTGTACTTTATCTCCCCCTCGGGTCATTCGCTCAAATCCCTGGACCTTGTTACAATGAAGAAGTTGGACAGCAAGGTAGGAAGCAAAGTACAGAAATTGGTTTTCGGGAAAGCTTAATTTTGAGGTTATTTCTGTTAAAGTACAAATCTTACAGTGATTGTGATTGGAAATTTCTTTCAGTACAGGCAGTAGGTTGGATATGAATTATTGCAAAGCAGGCATTAGAAAAGTTTAGATCTAGAGGAGTCTATCAGGAGATGTAGTGTTCTGCTTTTCATTTCATCCATGAGAAAATAAATGTTGCACAGGAAATGAGCAACTTTTAGAGATACTATTTTTATACTATATTAAACGTCTGTGGTGTGTTAATTAATTTATCTTTGCTATCAAGTCCTTGTTGTTCATTAAACACAACAGGATGGTGCAGAATGTCACAATATTCAAAGTCTTAAAGCAGACTGCAGAAGATATCTATCTAATCTCTACATATTTGGATGGGTGGCATCAAAAAGAACTGAATTGATCAACTGGAATTAGTAAATAGAACACAAAATAGGGAATTTAATCAAAAATAAAAATAAGAGAAAAGAAGTAGACACCCCCTGTCTAGGAGTGCAATGGCACACAAAAGTTATGTTTTTTTTTGTATGTACTTTGGTTTTAGTCACGGTTCTAAATGTTCTCCATTTGATTCAATCAAGAGAAGAAAACAAAAGTGAAGATTTGCTTTTAGATGAACAAATACAAAATAAACCACCATTGTGTTCTGTAGCTAACAAACTGTAAGAAGACAGTTTGACGTACAGAAAAGTTTAGCCAATATCTTCAAACAAAATAGATGAAAACAACCAAATCTTAGGCATCTAACATTTTGGACTTTAAATTTAGAATTTTAACAAATGAAATCCAGAGATAAGGTTTAGTATCTCGATATCAAAAAGTCTGAAAACATAACATTTTGAAAGTAAAAGTGTAGAAATCAGAATTTTCCAGGAAGTGCCTAATCTATGGTTACACTTGTAAAACCACAGATTAGATACTGTCTCTGGCTACAGAGATAGAATGAAGTAGTTTTTATTTTCTGATGCCTAGGGTCTGTTTTTCCAGCAGATTAAATTACACAAACATGTTACGGTGATTGAAGGCGACCATTAACCACTGATTGTTTAGCCCTGGGCGCCATAATAAGCTTCATCTGAAAAGATGAGAGCATCATGTCACCTGTCATTCAGTAATTCATCGTTTCGGCTTCAGAACACTTAAGACCAGGCAGGAAATTAATATTGAACCTGCAGGCGAATGCACCCTTTTTTTTTAATCCCCTAATGTTAGTAGTAGGACAAACGCTCAGTTGGTTATGCTTTAGCAGAAAGTGAGATAGAAATGCGTTGATAAACAGGAATTGGTTAAACTGTCAGTGAAATGTTCTATTTAACTAGACATGTTTTATATACACAACAAAAAAGATGATTAGGAGTAATAAAATGCAAAACTTTGGAGGAAAGTAATAAATGAAAAGGCTTTAAATGAAAGCTGAAACAGTTGTTGAACTAGATTTAAGTAAATGAATCTGGAGCCCTGTTTTTGTTTTAATCAGTGAGCAGTGTAACAGCAAGATTTTATGGTGAATTAATATTTCCTGTAGATAAATAAACCTAAGCCTTTTTTTAAAATAAAGATTTAAATTGTAATATAATGCTTCCTGAGGACTTGTGTTGAACAAATGTGCCTCAGAGAAAAGAGGAAATGGTTTCAGAAGAAACTATGCTGTGGTGGTTTTATTGTGTGAATGTTGGGAGAGCTTCACTATCAGCCTTTTCTATCCCTCTCCATCCCTCTTTAAGTGGTTAGAAACTTTCCCATGCTCTCACTCGCCCCCCTCTCTGCCTCCCTCCCCTCTTTCTGTGTGCGTGTGTATCTACGTCTGTGAGTTTTTGTGTGGTTTCGTTGCTCTGGAGTGGCAGTAACTCTGGATTTGCGTGTGAAAGGAATAGAAAGAGCAAGGGGGAATGCTGGAACCACGTCACGCGCGCACACACTCGAGTTGTCCTTTTGTGTCACTGTACAGATACACACAGAGCCAATTGTTGAGTCTGCTGCAGTGACAGTCAGTCAGTCACTCAGACAGCTGTTGGAACAGATCTAGCATCGTTTTGTTTTCTCCTCTGGGAGCAGTGTGTGTTCTGCATGTGTGTGTACGGCTGTGTGGTCTGACCCAGAAGCTCGCTTGGTGGCAGAAACCCATTCCAAGCCCCTCTATGGGACGGTGAGATGACAGAGAGGAATGTGGGGTGATTGAATGGGTGGGCCTAAAATAAATGTAAAACGTGGTTTATATTTCACACATCTTAAAACAGATTTAGATTTAGAAAGAAACATGATTTTTTTTAAAGGTTTTGTTTAAGCTCAAGCACTTTAACTATGTTTATTTACATGTAGTTAAAGCGGTCTACTTATAAGTTGGATATTAATTCATTACTCGTCGTATTCAGTTGAGAAAATGTATCTATGCCATGGTTCTGCAACCTTTTGTAAATGAAAGAGACATTTTGCCTTCAGTCCAGTTAAATAAGGTTTTTTAGGGATGCAAATGTCACACGATCACTTGAAATAAAGACAGTTTATAATTTTTGATAAATATCTACTACAGAAAATGTGCTCTTGCGTTTAGAGAACCATCACTTTATATCTATTTTTAGGTTAAAAAAAAAAAAAAAAAGACCAACATTGCAATGATGTGGGTGAATACATTTTCTTCTATGAGGTGTTTATATTTGTAGAAAATCCTCTAAAAAGAGTTTTTTTTTTCTATAAGGTTTATATATTAGAACCAGTAATGTCCAAAAGAATATTGCTGGTATATTTGGAATCATTCTTTTGTGGATATTCATTAAATAGAGTAAACTGCTAACAAACTGCTTACCTGCATTTGTTATTAAATCTTCATTTAAGTACATTAGCTGGCTCTTTGTTACATCTTGCTTTTACTGCACTAAGAGTCACTACAGACTGTCCAAAGACTCACTTGTGGCTCCTGATCTATGCAGTGGGGTAGATTACTTTTTCTGAGTTGGGATTTCTTATGATTCTAATAAAATCTCTATGTAGACAAAACAGAATAAAACTAAACATGAAAACCTTTTGATTTTGCAGACTGTTTTTTTTTTCTAATCTAATACTCCTCAATAAATTCTGAGGTTTTTACATAAATTAGAATTTAAATGCTATTATTTATCTTTGATCTACTATGGCTCCTTGATTTTAACCCATTACTGATCAGTATTTTGCACTCCGCTGGAACTGACGTGTTGCTTTGAGTCTGATTTCTGTGAAGTTTTCTGACTGTCTGGAATGACTTGTTCAAAAATTTTAAATATTTGCAACACATAAAGAAAGCAAGAATATTTGTTGTTGTTGTGTTAATCCACAATGGCTTCCTCTCCTGCTTTAGGTGAACATAATTCCAGTCATTGCCAAGGCGGATACCATCAGTAAGAGCGAGCTGCACAAGTTCAAGATCAAAATCATGAGCGAACTGGTTAGCAACGGCGTTCAGATCTACCAGTTCCCGCTTGACGATGAGACCGTGGCAAAGGTCAACACCACTATGAATGTAAGTCAATACATTTGTGAGTAATTTACCTGGATCCAAATGTTCTTATGCAAGAGTTTTGGAGGCTAAGTTAATTTATGAAGGCACAAGTTTGCTCAGTTTGTTGTTTCGAATAATTTATTGAATTTATGATGTTTTTTCAGGGCCATCTCCCATTTGCTGTCGTGGGCAGCACAGAGGAAGTGTGTGTTGGCAATAAGATGGTGAAAGCTCGCCAGTATCCATGGGGTGTTGTTCAAGGTAGAATCAGTGTGGATTTGTATTTCAGCCACAACAAAACAAGATTGTGTCGTTCCACTCATTTTCTGTTTTAATCCAGCTCAAACAAAAATAATTTCATTTAAAATAATTTCTCCTAGTGGAAAACGAGCACCATTGTGACTTTGTGAAACTGAGGGAGATGCTCATTTGTGTAAACATGGAAGACTTGAGAGAGCAAACCCACACACGCCATTATGAGCTTTACCGGCGCTGCAAATTAGAAGAGATGGGATTTAAGGACACGGACCCGGAATGCAAACCTGTCAGGTGAGCGGCCCACACGCTCCAGCCTCCATCTGCTTGCAGCGGCCAGCTCGTCGATTGAATTTAACATCTAAACACATTTTGTTTTCATAGTTTACAGCAGACGTATGAGGCCAAGCGTCAGGAGTTCCTGGCTGAGTTGCAGAAGAGGGAGGATGAGATGAGGCAAGTTTTTGTGCAGAGGGTGAAGGAGAAGGAAGCAGAGCTGAAGGAGGCTGAGAGGGAGGTATGCAAATATACTGTACTAGGCAAAATGTCTTTAATGTTTCATGACTGCCCATTAATATAAATCCAACTCTCTGTGACATACCTTTTGAGTTTAGGTTGTGGTAACCAAAGATTTTGTCATCAATATTACATAAATGTGGGGGCTTTTAAAGATCCATTTAGACCGTCAAATGATTTTTCAACAGGCAACTTTGATAAATAATGGAAAAACATTAGGTCCATAGGTTTGACTGTAATACCAGCATGTATATGTATACCCAGACTGCATTTTGTATTTGATTGAATTGTTTGGAGGAGTGAAGGTGAAAATATGTTAACTCTCAAGTACGGTAGTGGCAGCATCATTGTGTTGGGCATTTTTGCTGAAAGTGATACTGATTCATTTGACAAAGTGGGTGGAGTAATGAGGGAGGATTACCTTTTTCTTTGTATAACTTCAGCACAGCTTAACTGCAAATGGTTGAATCTTGGTTACTTCAGAACCGAGTTGTGAAATGAAATGATAAAGAAAGATGACATGAAGTATGTTGGTTGGCCTGTTTGCAACTCTGTCAAAAATGTCTGGATTATTTTTAAAAGCTGATTCTGTTCTAGGAAACCTATTCAAAAGACTTTCTGAAAATAATGGTTAAATGTTTTACCAAAAATCATCCCACAAGCCGAATAACGATGCTAGAAAATTTGTGGTTTATCCTCATGTGGGAGTCTGTCTTTTCTATTGTTTAGATTAGAAAAAAGCCTCATAAGCCGACTGGAAATGTGTTCCTGATGAATCTGCAAATAAAATTAAGCTTCTTTTTGCTTTTTCAATCAAGAAAAAAAAAGTGTACTTTTGTTCCATTTACATATGTAAATGGAACAAAGCTCATACATCAACTTTGTATAAAAAAATGTGTTGTTTTATTGCATTTTAGCTGCAGGGTCGTTTTGAGCAGCTGAAGCGTCTTCATGCAGAGGAGAAAGCAGCTCTCGAGGAGAAGAAGCGTCTTCTGGACAACGACCTGACTTCTTTTGGGAACAGAAGAACTGCAGCTGCACTGCTTCAGCCCCCGGGCTTCACAGTCAATGGGAAGAAAGACAAGGACCGGAAGAAGTAGGTGGAACTCTAATGCTTATGCCTTATGGCTCAGCATACGTAGGCACTGATGGTGAATTTTGAGCTGTTTTTATCTTAATCCATCTCTTTTATTCTGTCTTTCAGTTCTGGCTTCATGTGAAGATGTAAGAGATCTGAAGTGCACATCATTATGACCAGTGTAACCAGTGGCCTTTTGTCCACATTCTTTTAAGCCAGTCCAGGACACTAACGAGAAAAAGACAGAACATAGGGCTGTACCGTATATTAGCTTGAGCTGCCAAAGTTTAAACACATTTTCCAAAAAACTATGTACACTATCTTCTGATGTATTTGTAATCTTTCTTCAGGGTTTTTTTTTGGCCAGGCTAAAGAGAAAACATTTCAAATGTTGTTTACAAATCACTTAGACTGGTACAAAAATACATTTTTGGTGGGATTTTTTTCTACAAAAGTTGCTTATTCTCCCTCTTTTGTCCCATTGTGTCCTTTTCAGACTTGCCAGAGTTTCTCCCTTGTCAGCAATCCAGCTAACACATTATTTTAAAATCATTACAACCAGGTCATTTTTCTTCTTTTTTGATTATTTTGTTTTTATATGCAAGTTAAGCTTAAAATTAACTTAATACATTTGTTGCTAAATTCTAATTCATCTAATTTGATCAATTAGATTTCCCCTTAAACATTGAAATATGTCTTTTAAAAGGGTTTAAACTTCAATACCTTTTTGCAAATATATTTTACTACATTAATCTTTAAAAATTAGGTCAAAGGGCATTCTTTATGTTTTTTTCCTTTTTTTGCTTAGAGTTTTGTATAAAGATCTTTTGTGTTCTGCAACGTTTGTCCTGTAGCTGTTTCCAAAGGGAAGCACTTGCTCCTGGCTTTTCTCCATTTCTGTGCATTTATATATACTAAGATTTTCTGAAACTTGCTGAAATTTATTTTTTGATTAGGAAGATATTACAGGATGTATTTATGAACATATTTCTTTCACTCCCTTTTTTCTCTGCCACAGACAGTGGATTTTTGCTGCAAATCATGAGTAAACTATGCATTATATTGTATCGATGTTGGGAGCAAACCTAATAGAAGGATTGTGTATTTCCTTTATATCTATATTTTGATTTTACATTGTACTGTAAATCTGAAACAGAACACTGTGGTGCTGGTTTCCAACAAAGACTGGTTTAACTCACTTTTACTGACACTTTTTCTGACAATTGTGCTTACAAACATTAGTGCCTTACGTGTATGAAACTTAGACATGCACTACCTACACACTGCCACAAACATCAGTTTACTACATTTGTTTTTACGGAGTAAACAGTATTATTTGGATTCGTTATTGCTTTTTAAATAAAACCTTGTATTTTTGTCATGACACATTGTTTCCTTATTTTTTTTCCCCCAAGTTTGGGTAAATATATGCCAAGTTAAATTTAGGATATTAAAAGAAGTAATTTACAACAATATATATTTGTGTATAGAAATGATTAATAGATTCAACATTCTGGGACAGTATTGGATTTACATACAAGGTGTTGGGTTATTTACAATGTCTATAAAAAGTGTTCACCACCTTCCATATGTTGTATTGTTTGTACAAACAAAATAAGACTTTTTGACCATTTTACAAAAAAAAGACCATTGGATTTCAAATAGAAAACTAATAATTACAATAAAATGTGATTGCATAAATTTGCACCTCCTTTGGAATGACTGACTGGGGGAAAGTTGTATCGCAATAATCGGATTGGAAATGACCCGATTGCAGTGACTGCCATAGATTCCTGTAGTTTGATTAGCCACCAGCTACTATTACAACATAAAGACAAAAAAATACTCCAAAGAAATCAGTGAAAGGGCTACTGAAAAGTATAAATCGGGATGGATACAAAAAAATCTAAGGCATTGAACATTCTCTGGAGTTCAGATTAAATCCAATATGAAGAAATGGAAGGAATACGTAAATCTGCCAAGGTCAGGCTGTCGTCACAAAGGATCGATTTGCTGTATGTCTATTCCGGTCTTGAAATCTTTGAAAACAGAACTGATGATTAGTCCAGAATCCAAAAAGAAAACCATCAAACTGCAGCGTTTCAAATGACTTAAACACTTTACCACACTCCCAACTCGGATGCTAATTTCCATGTCATGTTTTCTTGACAAATGAAACCCAATAAAACATAATAACTGCACGTCTCCCTAAAAGGTCAATGTTTTTCCCAAATCTTACATAATTTCAGAAAAAAATTGCTGCAGACATATATAAAATTGAGTCTACAATTGTGTCGGTTTTTGAAATAAAAAGATTAAAAATAATTAAATTACTAAGTCAGATGTATGGTATTTAACTGCAAGGATATAAAGCATCATTCAGACATAAAATCCTAAGAGAAAAAAGTTATTCCAAAAGCTGACATGCCCTGCATGTATTAGGAGGATTCTTGGTTTCCCTTTTGCTGTAAAGATGCTTTCCCTTGTCCACCTCTTCACTTTTTTATGAGCACACACATTTACAGAAGAATTATCTTGTTTTGTGTTAGGTTTTGTACGCTGCAGTGTCTCACCCTGCGGCTCCATTGCCCTTCAAATGACTTAAATGCCGGCAAGTAGACAGGTGGACAGCAGGGCTTGGCGTAAAGCTGAGGAACGCTGATTGATTCCCTGCAGGAGCCTGTGGCAACCCTGCTATTATTGTTAGGCATTGAAGAGGACACCCAGAGGAGAGGCTTTTCTCTGAGCCAAAGCACAGCAAAGGCCTGTTTGTGAGTAAGAGCGCAAGTTTTATTCCAGGAGGAGGCGAACACTATCAGCTCTGCAGAAAATCTAAATTAGCTGCCCGCTCACCTCGAATATAAAATATCAGCGTTAAAGTCAAGCTTTTCTGAATGAGCATAAATCCAGGCGCGCATTCCCACACATGTACCACGGCAACCTTTTTGCCAGTCACTCTAAATGCAAATGGAGGTGATGATCGAAGACGGCCTTGACTTGTAGGTAGATGAGGTTGTCATGTGGTGAGGGGGTTGTGCTGGAGATGCTCTGAAATTGCCAATTACACACCTCATCCATGTCAGTGTTTGGTTGGAGAAAAAGAGGGGTGCGATAAGACACGGAGAGGATATAGACGAGAGAAGACGGAGGGGAGGGGGCGAAAACTGGCATCCATCACCAGCATGTCTTCACTGATGAGGACAATAACACAGTGAAACAACTATACCTGCAGCGTTTCTCATAACAAGCTCATTGTGAGTTGAGGTGATTCTAATTAGAGCAGGATATGATTCTGAGGATGAATCCTCTGAGGGGCAAACTCGAATTGGTGCATCACAGGTAATGTGTTTGTTTTATATCAGAGCACACAAATGAGGTTTGCTTCAAATCATACTGCATTTTAGCCACAGGCGGTTAAAATAGCGACAAAAAGCACAAACACAAGGGAAATAAATCTGAAAACAAAGGCATTTATTGCGAAAAATGCACTTGACATGAAAAAACAATCATATCAACCACGGGTCATCAGTACAAGACGATGTATAATGATCACATGGTAGAAAGCGCTGGACGGTACCAGTCCAGAGCATGACTGCAATGGCACAAAAGGCCTATAAATATTCTGGACAATATAGAATCATATATCTATGTATAATTTTTTTTTTTTTTTGTTCTCTCTGTTTCACCAACAGTACCAACAGTTTTCACCACGAGTCAGTCCTGAAGAGGCATGAGCGTCCAAGTTGCACCACGCTTTGTCATAGTTTCTTTTTAGTGTAAAGAGCTACATACAGAAGCCTCCTTCCTCCCGCTTTGCATTCACACACACGCACAGGTTCTCTCAAGTATCTGTAAGAACAAATATGGCATTTAATACAAAATGGCAGATCGGGATCTCAAGCTTCCTGGTAGATAACTTGACAGCGTCAAAAAAAGCGTATGGGCTCAAAAATGGCGATCAGAAAACATATTCAACCACAAACATTTCTGTTTTTTTATTTGGATTTTTTTTGTGATACACCCAGACAAAATTGCACATACTTATGAAATTGAAGGCTGATGATAAATGGTTTTTACAAATGTAAATAAGAAAGGTGTTGCAGCTGTAATTATAGCCAATGGTGGTTCTACAAAAGTAAGGATTCATAGGCTGTTGGCAAATACCAATCAGCAGAATGTGAAATGTATTTGTATTAGTTTATCTTGATCCATCACATCAAATCTCAATAAAATACATTGTTTGTTTGAGTTTTCAGGGTGTGAATAGTGCGCCAAGACAATGAGTGTTTCAAGCCAAATAATGCTCACACCTCAAAAGAATAATAGTGAAGCCCTCACTGCAATTGTTCCAGCTATTGCATTTATACGACCAGGAAGCTGAGGCGAATGACAACCTTAGATCACATAATTAAAATACAAACATACACACGCACACACTCAAAAAAAAAACTTTTGAAAAACTGGCGCTTCAAGTTATTATATCTAAAGTGACCACTGTGCAGTGGTTTTATTCCTGACATTTTGACAGCTGTAAACGTTTTTTCATTTTTTTTCCCCCCAAAGAAAATTGACCCCAATGGAAATAAAAATAAAACACACACTTCTGATCTCCAACACAAATAAGGGGCTGTTTTTTTGTTCTTTTTTTAATTGGAAATAATATATATTCGAGTTCTTGAGTCAGCAAGCCCACAAAGAGACAAAGAAAAGCTCACATGAGACCAATGCAGAGCTGTTTTGGGATCTGCTGGTTGCTGTCATCGGGCCCCAACAAAACAGAGAGGACTCCAAATTAACCCGCAGGCTTGCCTTACTGACACTTATACACACAGAAGCATGGAAACAGGGCACTGGTCTGCCTAGAATAAACACCATTTATTTGTGTGACATTTGTAGGCACTAAGGTTTGACTGACAAGTATCAAAGGCCAATGGGGATATGTTAAGTCCGGCTTTTCCAAGAACTGATGCACAAAAGTTTCATAGTGACTCTCTCTTTGCTCATTTCATGGAGATAAATATGCACCTTTTTACTCAATGAACAAAAAAGCCCTTCTGACACTCATACAGAGAACAAACTTGACCTTGTGCAATAAAAACATATTAAACTTAATTTAACAGTGGAAAAATTCAATGCCAAATCTAAAAGTTGAATGCAGTCCAGATACATGCGAGCTGGGACCTGTTGCACATAGGGATGAGCCGGTACCAGGTTCTCACAGTATGAAACCTTCAGTAACAATACTGCAATGTTAACACACAACAAACAAGAATGTCTCAACTTGGTCAAATGGCTTTTCTTTGAAACCTAGAAAACAAATGTTCTTACTGCTGCAATTGTAGTATTATTAAAGTAACATTGTACATATAATACTGTTTGTTTATTGAGAATATCTATTGGACAGAATATATCTTTTTTAAATTGTGCACTTCATTTAAATTTGCTGGTAAATTATTCGGGCTATCTGATGAGGCCTTATGGACTGCTAGTAAGCCACTCATAGCTTACTAATAGTAAAACAGGGTGCAGCTCTTTTAGTTTCCATACCATGACTGTTCTTGATTCTGTGACAAGAAATGTTTCAAGAAATGAAAAACTTTCATTTCTTGTAAGTGATGGAGAACTGTAAGAGTCTGCATTCCTCTGTGCTCCATACAGCCAGACAAACCTTTACTCCCTTCAAAGCATTTTCTGGCACCTTATTAACATAGCTCTGCACCAGATGAAGATTTAATATGCTTAAAAAAGATTTCTTGTTCATAAATTATGGCAGGATGGACTGTAAGAGGTATAGACAGATTTTGACCTTGCGCAGTAATGCAGGCAATGCTGTGGTCTGTTGGGTTGGAGAAATCACTGAGTCAAAAAGGGAAGCGCTCAGATTATTTATGCTTCCCATTGTCATGAGAAGTGGTCATGACCGACAGAAAGAGATTCTACACAGAAGCAGCGGAAATGATCTTCCTGTCACTTAGTCAAGTGACTAAACTCAAGCTTAGAGATAGGGTGAGAAAGTGCTGTTAGGACAGGCGCTGGTCCTCTGCATTGAAAGGAGTCAGCTCAGGTGGCTTGAATATCGTACCATGATGTCTCCTGGGTGTCTTTGTTTTTAAGGACAAAGCACTGGGATATGTAATGGGTCCCCAGAGCATAAGGCAAACTCGCTGGATGGACTACATACCCTATATATCCCCTGGGCTGGAAATGCCTTGGGGTCCCAGGAGGGGCCTGGAGTGTCTGCAGGTCAAAAGATGTCTGGGTTTCCCTTGCAGGCCTGTTACCTGTGTGTCCTGATCTTTGCTAAGTGGAATATATGGATATATGTGTGGATACATTTTTATCCTTTCTGAAAACATTGCCATCCCTTGACCACAAACAGCCCAT